TATATATATATATATATATATATATATATTCAGCTTATAATAGATAAAAGATAGATAACAACTTGTTTACAAGCATCTGAAACATGTTTTCTTAAATAATAATAATACTTCTTAAAATAAAACATGATTAAAAGAGAAATGGCATCTGATCTGAGGGTCAGATTTCAGCAATACATGCTAAATATATATTATTCACCTGCAGAAGTAAAAAAAAAAATGGCCTGCAAATTTTCCTTTTTGGGTGAAGTATTCCTTTCATGTGTTCTTGACTTACTGTGGTGCTAAAATACCTCAGTACTGAAAGATGCTTTGAAACTTGCTCCATCATGGATATAAAACAAAGAAAAATAAACCTGACCAAAGCTGGTGACTATGCTTTATAATCACATCTTTAAACAGCTGGAAGATGCCTCCCAGGTAGCTGTTGCCCCTCCACTGGGATTTATTGGGTGCGCAGATAAACCTACAGTAAAGATATTCATGAGCTTCAGCGCTTGCAGCCGTGATCTGAAGCGATGTGTGGTGTGCTGTGGAGTACCTGGAGCTCTGCATCAGCTCGATGGCCTGTGAGCTGTACCTCTCCGTGCACTGCATGACCTGATGCTTGAAGAAGTTGCAGTTCTCCAGGTGAGCGATCTTGGAGAAGATGTAATAGTGTCCGTCCTGCTGGATGTACAGGCTGTTGTTCTTGTACTCCAGACCCCTCATGAACACCGGGAAGCTGTCGGCTCTCCAGTGCAGGACACCGTTCCCGCCGGACGCGGGCGAAGCGACTACACAAACACACACAAACATCATGCAGGAACCAGCTGCAGTACTTTTAGCAATATAATGGTTGATGCATATGAAGAAAAATGGGGGGGAAAAAATCATGAATACACTAAAAGTAACATTCGACTGTGTGTAGAAGGTGTTTCATACTTTGCAGAAATGCTGCCGGTTTGCTCTCAGCTTTGGGAAGTTTCGCAGGCAAAGCTTCATTAAAATCTGTTGAGAAAACAAGCCGAATGAACGCTGAACACATCGTGAAGAGCAGCGCTTCAGTGCTCTGACTGTGTGAGTGTTTACCAACCTTGTGAACTTCTGGGAAACGGGTACTTCTCTCCCTGCGGATAAATATTTACAGCAGCGTTAATATGATCGTCTAACACACCTTTATATACAGACCTGCGTAAAAAAATATACTCACTTTTATATATTCCACTTTCTGGATATCGGATGTTGTCTAGAAAAGAAATTGAGAAAATATTTGATGTTTTTCACATATTTTTCCTATTACGTTTTGGCATTTCACATGTGTATATACAAAGAAAATGAAGGCCTGTTCACAGCCGTGCGAACGAATGGCTGTTAATGCGTCTGCTTCAGACTGAAACAAGTATTTGTGTGTCATCAATGCATCTGATTTTGAAGTGTTCTAACCTCTTTTTAGTTGCACAGCTAAATAAAACCAGCCAACCAATAGGATTCGCGCTTTTAGTCACATGCTCAGAGTCATAGCCGTTACAGTGAGAAGCAGGGCTGTTCGATTCTGAAATTTTTGGATTCGAGTCCGATTCTTGGTTCTTGGGATTCGATTCAATGTTGTTTTCAATTCTTTTTCGATTCTTGTCTTTTAGATTGAAGGAACCTCTCGCCATGACTGCAGGATATATAAAGGTCGTAGAAAGTAGCCTTCTCATAATATATAGCTTTACTTGCTTTATAAAATGACGATACATTTCTATAGCTCTGATTGATTTTTAAATTGTAATTTTGTCTGCATTGCCCATGAAATTAGTCATAGCCCACAGCTCATCAGTGGACATGTGTTTATTACATGAATGGAACAAGACATGAAGCGTTTAAAATACATGTGCACAGTTCAGCTGAATGCACTGTATGCTTTGCACAAAATTAACAAACTTTACACTGAAACAAAATAACCAGAGTATTAACAGCAACACTGATATAAGAGCCCGTGGATGGCTGTTTGAAAACATGCACATGTTGTTTATCATCCTGCGTGTCAGAAATGAAACATTAAGTCCAAAGTATACTTCGGTTAGATTCCGCATACAGTGTGCGTGATGCAAATTTCGTCACCATAATAGTATGTGCACCATTCAGTTCTTGTAACCACGCATACTTCGCACACACAGGTCGCACATGCACACTGAATTTGCTTTGCAGTAATCAGTTGTTCCACAAGGTGGCAGCACTGGAAGAAAACGAAACACAAGAGACGGAAAAACTGCAATAAAAGTAGACGCCTGCATTGACAAGCGCTTGTGTGAGAGAGTTATGAGAGAGCCCAGCTTTAGTTTAAAAGAGTACAAAGATGTTTTTTTCGCTCGTAACTTCTGGAGAAAAATACAGCAGACGCTGGACAAAGATGAAGCTTTCTAGAGTCGATCGCCTGTGTTCGTGTGCGCTATCAAATGGATAATACTTTGAAAGGTTACGCGTTTGACTGTTGCTAGTGTACATGTATAAAAATACTTTGAGCTTTTTACATAGTGGTTTATGTCCTGGAGCAACCAGGCTATTTTGGCCTTTCTAAAAGCGCCATCTACTGTCAGAGAGTGACAGTGTATATTCATTCAGCCTGCCTTTTGTTAACGCATTGGTCTGAACAGACAAAATCACAGTTTTTGTGTCAAACATTAGCACTAATTTGCAATCATTTTGCTATCACTAATCAGCTATTTTTTGATTTTCTAGATACCTAGAGCTTACAATTGAACTTTTTTTCTGGGGGAAGGTGAGTGAGGGTATGCAAGAATCTATTGTTTTAACGTTTTTATCAAAACTGACTTATTTTAAAAAGCCTCCCAGTCCTATAAGATCCGTTAGTGGTTTGTAGGACCATAACACACTGTTATTAGTTTTAATATTTATCAGAATGAACACCAATTGATTTTAGTGCATGGAGCTTAATCGTGTATTTCTAATGCCTTTTACTGTTTGTTATTTCTGTATAATGTTTTTTTTTTTTTTTTGGTTTTGAAAATGTCACAATGGCTTGGGTGTCTGGCCTGGGTGTAAGTGTGCAAACCCTTATATATGTTTACAGGAAATCTACACACTAATCCAAAACCATGAGCAATATTCTGCGGGGGTTGTGCAACCTAGTGGTTAGCGATCTGGGCTAGTTACCAAAGGGTTCAGACCATCAGCAAAAAGGTCAAAGCAGAGTGAGATTATGAGACGTTTGGCAGCATCCAAAAAGAGAAAGATGGGAACATGCAAGTATGCTCCTTCCATCTCTCCAGAAGTCCTTTATTGTCAAAAATATTCAGTGTATTGTATATAAAAAAAAATATTTTTCAGTTTTCTGAGGGGGTGG